TTATAATAAAGTTTAAAATCAAGACTTGTGATGCTTCCAACTTTGTTCTTCTTTCTCAGGATTGCTTTGGCTATTTAGGGGGTCTTTTGTGGTTCTGTATTAATTTTAGGATTGTTTGTTCTAGTTCCAAATAAAAAAAATGCCTTTGGAATTTTGATGAAGATTTTGTTGAATCTATAGATTAGCCTCATTATTTTTATTTTTTTATTAAGATAATTTATTTCTATATTTCATCCCATTTATTTACCTGAACTCATTGGGACAGTTAGTCCAAATCACCTAGGTTGCCATTACCAGAGGTATATGATATCTTCCTAGCTGCTCTCCTTGTTGTCAGTCTCCCTTCCAGATCCTCCTTTCCAAAGTAACCAGGGATTTTTCCAAGGCACCACTCTGATTAAGTCATTCCCCTGCATAAACACTTCAAAAGCTTATGGTTACAGGTACATGCAAAAAAAATGAAACTAGATCACCAACTCACTTCATACACAAGAATAAATTCAAAATGGATAAAAGACTTAAATGTAATTCAAGAAACCATAAAATCCTGGAAGAGAACATAGGCAGTAAAGTCACAGACATCCCATGTAGTGGAATTTTCACTGATACATCTCCTAGGGCAAGAGAAACAAAAGAAGAAATAAACAAATGGGACTACATCAAACTGAAAAGCTTCTGCACAGCAAAAGAAATCATCCTCAAAATACAAAGGAACTCCAAAGTATGGAAGAACATATTTGCCAAGGATACATCTGATAAGGGGTTAATTTCTAAAATATAGAAAGAACTCATACAACTCAACAAGTGGAAGACAAATAATCCAATTAAAAATGGGCTAAGGATCTGAATAGACATTTCTCCAAAGAGGACATACAGATGGCCAAGAGACATATGAAAAAATGCTCAACTTCGCTAATCATCAGAGAGATGCAAATTAAACCCACAATGAGGTATCATTTCACACCTGTCAAAATGGCTGCCATCAACAAATGAACAAATGACAGGTGTTGGTGAACATGTGGAGAAAGGGGAACCATGGTACACTGCTGGTGGGACTGCAGACTGATGTAGCCACTATGGAAAACAGTATGGAGGTTCCTGAAAAAACTAAAAATGGAACTGCCTTTTGATCCAGTGATCCCACTTCTAGGAATATATCCTAAGAAACCCAAAACACTTATCAGAAAGAACTTATGCACCCCTATGTTCATAGAAGCACAGTTTATCATAGCTAAGATCTGGAAACAGCCCAAGCCTAAGTGCCCATCAGTAGATGAGTGGATAAAAAAGCTGTGAGACATTTATACCATGGAATACTATGCAGCTGTAAAGAAGAAGGATCCCTTACCTTTTGGGACAGCATGAATGAACCTGGAGAATATTATGTGAGGCAAAATAAGCCAGGCAGACAAAGGTAAATATCACATGATCTCACTTATATGTGGAATCTAAAGGACAAAACAAACTTATGAACAAAATAGATCCTATACAGCAACATAGAAGCATGGAACAGATTGACGAATCTCAGAGGGAAGGTAGGGGTGGGGGAGGAGAGATTAACCAAAGAATTTATGTACATAAATGCATAACCCATGGACACAGACAATAGTGTGGTGAAGGCCTCGGGCTGCGGGTGGGTGTGGGGTAGAAGGAGTCAATGGGGAAAAAAGAA